CACTACCTCCCCCACAACCTACACACACACTATCTCACACACAAACTACACACACACATTCATACACACACACTCTCTCTCACACACACTCTCTCTATCTCACATACACACTCATTTTTTCACAAACTAAACTATACACACGCACACACACAGAAACACCCCCCTATGCTCTCTCTCTCTCTCTCTCTCTCTCTCTCTCTCTCTCAGACACACACACACACACACTCTCTGACTGAATCTGATTATAGGTGTGCAGTAGTGCGCGCGCTCTCACCGCATCCGCTTCATTCATCTTGATGGTCATCTTGTTGACGGCGTCGGCTGCTTTGTTTACCATCCTCAATATTCCGGCTCCGCTCAGCGCCTGAGTGCTAACCGCTCGCGGCAGCTGCAACAAAATGACAAATAAGGGCAAACAAAGCGGTTAGCGGCGGCGTCCCGCGGGGAGCGCTCCTCTCCGGCCGCACCGCGCGCTTTTCTCCAGTCCTATACATTTCAATGCAGCTCCAATTTAATACGCCTCAGCCTGGAAAACTCTCAGAGGAGCGCCGCAAAAATAGCTTTCAATCGCCACAGCGCTCAGCTTCTACAATCACTCCTTCATTAGACACACTAATACACACGTCTGAGAACACACACACTTCAGCTGAGATTCAACATCACACACACACACACACATAGTTCTGTAGTGCTAGACTTTAATGACAAACACACACACATCTGGAGTGCTGGAGGTTAATGACAAAAACACACACTACAGCTGAGATTCAGCATTATACACACACACACACACACACACACACACACACACACACACACACACACACACACACACACACACACACACACACACACACACACACACACACACACACACACTAGGGCTGCACAATATTAGAAAAATCTAGTATTGCAAAATTGTTTTATTTTGCGACATACACTCACCGGCCACTTTATTAGGCACACCTTACTAATACCGAGTTGGACCCCTTTTGTCCTAATCCTTGTCAGAGATTCAGCAAGCTGCTGGAAATATTCCTCAGAGATTTTGCTCCATGTTGTCATGATAGCATCACACAGTTGCTGCAGATTTGCCGGCTGCACATCCATGATGCCAATCTCCCGTTCCACCACATCCCAAAGCTGCTCTATTGGATTGAGCTCTGGTGACTGTGGAGGCCATTTGAGTACAGTGAACTCATCGTCATGTTCAAGAAACCAGTCTGAGATGATTGAGCTTTATGACATGCTGCGTTATCCTGCTGGAAGTAGCCATCAGAAGATGGAGACACTGTGCTCATAAAGGGATGGACATGGTCAGCAGCAATACT